CCCGGATTTCCACTTGGCTGGAAACTTATCCCAGGAAACCCCGAGTTTGGGATGTTTTTCCCAATTTTTCCTGATTTTTAGGTCATTTTTATTTTGCCTTAAGCTCCCCCCTCTTTTCTTTTGGGGTTGTTTAAATCCTGCTTTGTTTTCCCCGGTGGATAAAATTTGTGGTATGTAATTATATGTTATAATTATATAATATAATAATATACAAGTCATATATAATAATTATATAATATAATATTATCAATTAATATTATTTTTTAAATTATTTATATTAATAGTAGTAGTTATAAATTTATATAATTAGTCTATTAATATCTAATTAATTTATAATATAATTTTTAATATATTATAGACAACATGTATTTATTGTTTATAGTTATAATTAGAAATATTAATACTATATAGTCCTATACATTGATAATTGATATATTAAAATATTGTTATATATTAATATAATAACGTGTTGTTATTAATATAATATATTATTAATAATATATTAATATATAGATTATATATCAAAATATATTAATAATAATCATTTATGAATATATTAATAATTATTCAAACTATATTAATAATTATCGATATTTATATTATTTAGATATATTAATATACTATTAATAATGCAACTGAAACAAATATATATCATTATTCGAATTTAATTAAGATAAAATAATAACATAAACTCACAGAAATAATATAAATACTCTTTATATTACATTCTATTTATTTTATAATATATAAGATAATATTTTTATATATAATATACACATATAAACATGTTGTTATAATAAGTATTATTGTATAATATGACATTCATAATATTTATAATAATGTATCATAATATGATGATATATTTATAAATAATAATAGAATCTATTAATACTATTGTAAGAATTATAATACTTATTATAATTAAATCCTAATTCTCATTTAATATAAATAAACTAAACTATTTAATATAAGAATAATAAAGAATAATGAGGAATAATAATAAAATATATAGTGTAATAATACTTATTATAATTAAATTTTAATTGTAACTTAATATAAATAAGCAAAAACATACAATATAATAATAAATAAATAATAAT